AGAAGATTGTGCGGTGTCCCGGAGAAGGATTTGTGAGGGGTACCGTGCTCACCCCACGGGAGCCGCGAAGAGCAACATTAGTAGAGCGTGTCATTGAGCTACCCTCACTTTTGGGGTAGATTCTTGTGGTGCCCAACGTGTGGGCTTGGCGAGTGGTGTCAATTAGCCGTCGAATCACCAAGTGAGCGGTCGACGCAACAGGGACTAGCTTGGTGGCAACCAAGTGAATCTTGGGAGAAAAATCATCGTGTCATTCTTATCTTCCCGTTGGTTTGCATTCTCGTTACATAAGCCTGTATTTATATTTCACATATTGTGCTTGTGTAGTTGCTCTTATAATTAGTTAGCTCATGTAGTTTGCTAGTTACCTTCTTGCTTGTGTAGCATAGAAGTAGCTTCCTTTGCGTGAGTAATTCGGTTTGAGTAACCTTGTTAATCACATTGCTTAGTTAATTTGCACTCTATAATTTAGTTTGTGTAACCTTGTTATTGAGCATTGCTAGTGAGCTTAAGTGACTTTGTGCTTTTGCTTACTACCATGTGTAGGAGCTCCCCTCTTACTTGAATTACTAGTGGCATAGTTTGTGTGACCTTACTCCTATAATTAATTAGATGAGCTCTAGCTAACTCGGCACATTTGTTACCTAATTAGGATCTTTATAAGGTGTCTGTGAACTTAGACAGAGGGGTGTAGTCTTGAATAGACCGTTAATTTTAATTTCATATTTATTTCAGTAAACCGATACGATTAATTTTATAAAAAATTATTTATCTTTCTCTAGTTCACCATCTCGACACTACACCATAGCTGCCCCTGCGCTCTCACTCTTCGTTTCCCACCTTGTCCTCCCACTCCGACTTCCCTGCTGTGGACTTCAAGTGGATCAAGTGCTCAATGAAATGGCACTGCCGGGGTAAGTCTACCACTTGTTACTCTAAGGTCACTATACCTAATTGTGCAGGCAAACAAATATAATCCCAACCTAGCCTGGTTGTGCGGAGAAATAGACCCAGAAATAGCAAGTTGCATCTACTGGACGGGTCTTTTTCCACACTGCCTGAGCTCATAGATACGAGCCGAAACCATCCAAGGAGACAAACAGACCCGTCATTCCTGCTGCCCTCCGCCCGGCTCCTTCGTATGCATGTACCATTTTAAAAAAAATATTATTTGAAAATGCAAAAGTGGGTGTTAATTTTTGTTTAGAATCATACAGTTTAACGTAGACATCCACGACACGCAACGCGCACACCCTCTGTGAACAAACACGTACACAAACCTCTACCCCTGTGAGCACCTCCGAAGGTCTAAACCGATAGATCTTGAGATTCACGAAGTCACCACTACTACCTCGCTGTTGACGAGGACGTCGTTTATCACTGAAAGCATAGCGTAGTTAAATCCTAAAATAAATCTAGAAAAATACGAGCACCCATGTCAAGCCTAGGATTTAAACCTAGGTGAGTAGGCTCCACTACAAGTAACCAACCAACTGATCTATGATCAATTTAGAAGTGGATGTTAAAATTGAAAAATTGTAAACATAGTAGCCAGTCGGCTACTCATGGGAAAAAATTGTATGGATCATGTATGTATCACCGTCGTCCTGCATACATAAGGTCAATGACTGACGCGTGTCTCTCTCCGTACCTAGACTGGCCGTGGTTGCTAGCTGGAACTGAAGCACGGCTTGTCAAGACGTCATCAGCCGCAGCTAAATCACCCATCCTGATTTTTTTATCGGCAAATCACGAACCGCTACAGCGGAGGACCTCCCGAGTCCCGACGCAGCGTTGGATCGTGACCGGAGACACGCGTCAGCCATCGATCCGATGGGCGACGCCATGCATACAGGATCCATACCATTTTTCTCCTACTCATGTCGGCCTACCTACTGCCTATTTGTCTAGGTGGCAACGGACGTGGAGTCCAGCAGCAGCGCGTGTACTCCGCTCGAATCCACGTGATGGCCGAAATCCAATGAGCCTTATCATTATAAAAGACGGTAGTAGCTTACATGTCATTAAAAAGTTTGAGTGCATGTTGATCGTCGAACTTTTTTTTTTGTCCTCCACACTATTCTATCTAGTTTTGCCTTTAACGCTGTTAAATAGACAGATGAAATGACCATTTTACTCTATAGTGGGGCCCGTTTGTCAGCCACCCAAACCTCCTCTTTCTGCCCGCCCCTCTGGCCTTATCCCCTCCACCAGTCCACCGTCTCCACCAACGACAGCCGACCAAGAAATCCTCGTCCAACCTCCGTCGCCCCTCCGACTCTGCCTCACGTCCATGCGGCCTCCCGCACCGCCGCCCCGCCCCGCCTAGGGCCATCTCCTCCCTCCCCCGGCGCCTCGCCCTCACGCGCCCTCAGCAGTAGCGCCGCACCGTCCCGCCCACGACGTCGCCCAGGGCCGCACTGCCACCCCACCATGGCAGCTCCACCACCTGCACGCGGGAGCCCCCCGCCGCCGGCGCTCCCCGGCATGCGTGCGGGAGCCGCCCCGCCGCGGCTCCCCAAGGCCCGCACTCGCGCACCACGGCGAGGCTCTAGCGACGGCTGTGTCCGTCCCGCGCCTAGTGACTGAATAGAGCTCTGGCATGAACAAAGCGTGCGCATGGCCGTCCTGCGAGGTGCCAGTGGTTGCGGTGGCACTGGCTTGGAGCGGCCATGGCATCCGTGCCACGCGCGCTCTGCCATGGCCCACACCGACAGGACGGGGATGACGCGACCAAGCGAAGCCTCGCGTGTGCGAGCGGATCGCGCACGGCGGCCGGGATGGTGGGCGACGCTAGGAGCGCGATGCAGGAGCGCAACGGAGGAAGAAGGTGCCCAGGTCACTTACAGCTTGGCCCCAACAGGCAGAGAGAGAAAGAAGGGAGAGGACAGGGCCAGAGAGAAAGGTATTTTGGACATCATTAACCGTCGGGTCTACATGTCAGGACTATCGAACGGTAGAAGTCAAACAGAAGGTGGACGGAATGGCGTGAAGGCCAAAAAAAAGTTCGATGATGGCACCAAGGTGCGCTCAAACTTTTGAGTGACATATAGGCTGCGGCCATCTTTTATAATGGCACAGATATAAAAGGCTCAGATCCAATGCAGCCAGCCACATAGCACAGCGAGCACACCGCTGCGGCGCTGCCGTCAGCTGTCATCCTCGATTCGGTGGAACACTACGCCACTTTCTGCTGCTCCCCCGACTTCCCTCCTTCTCCCACGCTGGGTAGTTGCAGCTCCCAATCGCTCCTCAGGCCCTTGGCCCCCTAAAGGCCTGTTTGGATTGGAAGATTTTCAAAGGAAAATCGTTGGAACCAAGAAACGGAGGAAAGGAAACCAAAGAGTGTGTTTAGAATGGAGGAATTGAGATTTCCTTTCCTTTGGATTCACGTAGCTAGATGCCGATTTCACGAAAAGAAAAGAATCCACTCTAATCCCTTGTTTTCTTTTCCTTCGTGATTGCTCGAGCAAATGAGTGATTAGGAGATGGCGGCAGGTGTCATCTAGGAGCATAGCATCATGAGCATGGACCACAGCGACGAAGAAAACGAGTGGCAGCCACTCACGACCTCTCAATGGAGTAGAGGCTCACCGGAGAAGTGAGTCCACGGAGCACCGCCGATGAAGGCCCACCGCGCCACCTGCCATAGCCGCTTCCCGCGTCGTTTGCCTGCAGCCAGTCGCGCCGCCTGTCGCGGCCTCATCGCCTGCGAGAAGCCTGTCCCGCGCGCGCCGCCCTCCCTGCACCACCCGCCGCCACCCTGCCCGCTGCAGCCGCGCCACCTGCCCGCGGCTCGCCGCACCTATGTCAAGAACGAGGGACGGATGCTGCTATTCCAATGAGGAAGAGAAACAGTACCGATTGAGTGGAAGAACGGATAAGAAATGCTAGCCTGTGGGCCCTCTTCCAGGTTTTAATTGATATACACGTACCAGCTTCCTAAAAGGAAAAAATATTTTCTGTTAATTATAATATAACGCGTTGAGTTTGCAGCTAACTCTAAAATTCCGCTAGTCATATTCCTGCGTTCAAAACACGTATTTCTATTGTTCCTTCCCTGTTTCTCTGTTTTTTCGTTCCTTCCCTGTTTCTCTGTTTTCTCCCATTCCTCAAACAGGCCCTAATCTCCGCTTCCATGGAATTCGAAGGACGGGAAATCCCGACCGCGAATGTCTCCTGCTAGAAGAACCGTGATTCGCGTGGCGGCCCTGTCATCCCGCGGCTCCTCCTCGCCGGTACGGTCTCAGTTGCTAGGCGAATGGCCGGCGGGTCTTGCTGCCATGGCGTCGATGCCAACGGCGGGTTGGCGGCCACGACGGCACCACCGCTCATTTCCCACTTCCCAGACGCTACCGGGATTAATCTTCTTTGGCAAGCGGATACTGCCTGCGGTCGCAAGCGCCTGGGAGCGAACATTTCCATATCGACCCCCCCATTTCCCGCCGCAGGGCATAAAAAAAAACGATCAGAAAAGGGGACAGAGCTAATGCGAGCATACATTCCCGTTGACACAAGGAATCTCTGCGCTCTCCTATCTCCCTTTCTTTCCAAATATATTCTTCTCCCCGTGCGCTCGCCGCAAATGCGTCATCCATCAACTGGCAACGCCACGGCGAGGGAATTTGATTATAACGAAAGATCGCTCATCGTTGCTTTTGCGCGTTGCAGGAGGACTGGAGGAGGGGGGGCGAGATGCCGTGCCGCCCGCCCTTGGCTCGCTTCACCTTCAATTCTTTTCTTTCTGTCGCGGCCAGCGCCTTCCCACCACGCCGCTTTATTCTCTAAGAACCCCGTCCTCCCTCTTCTCATCCGTCCATTGCAGCTCTTGCTTCTTCTTCTTCTTCCCCTCACCACCCTTCTGCTCATCGTAGACATCGCGATCGCCGTCGTTGATCTTGCCAAGCTCTTGCTTCCGTTCTTTTTTGGTTCAGTTTGTTCAGTGCTCGCCCTGTACGTGTCTGCCCTATATATATGCTGTGTTGGCGCCGGTTGCATAAATGGCCTACTCCTCGCGGTCTTGTGGTCGGTGCAACCACGGTAATATCTAACTCTCTTTGTTTCTTTCCTAATTTACGGATGTTCTTGTCGCCATCAATACCCTGTCTCTGTTATCCTACTATGTATACTGCTTGTTTTGGCATGTGTAAAATTAAGTTGCCTACCACTCTGTCGTTGTCTGAACAGATTTCTTACCTTCTTGTTTCCTGCCGCTTAATCCGTGTTGACTTAACACTAAATGGGCATCCTGCTTAGGAAAAAGCAAAATGACCTTTCATCTATCTTTCTCGGTTTCTAAAGCGTACTAGAGGATGCCATGTCAAGGAAACATGGTTACTTTGTGTTCAGTTCTGTTTTTTTTTTCTTCTGAAATGAAGGGCCCGAGTACGTGGTTCATCCTTTTCATGATAGAAATTGATTTGCGGCTTGATTAGTGTGTCGACATTCATCCTTTTCATGATAGAAATTGATTTTGTCACTTGATTAGTGTGTAACATCCAATCACTGACTAACCAATTTCATTAGAGACCGCTATCCACTAGACTCCCAATACATCTTTCCCCTTTTCTGAAAGTTCTCACTTGGCTTCGTCACCATTAAATCGATGACGCAACGAGTCAAACATGGAAGCGTCTATTATGGTGGGCTCGTCCTAGAAAAGAGGGTTCTGTCGGATCAACCTGAGCTCATTGATTGATCCTAACAGCAGGCTAGCTCCACCCACTCGCATCACCTGACGAGCATTTCTAACAGTTACTGTCATGCATACATCAATGTTATTCAGAGGGGAGGAAAAATTGGACTGAAACTGACTCTTATAATCCAGGATTAACTGAGCTCTGACAAGATAGCTTCACTGACCCTGACTGCGTGCCCTGTCAATTGGAGTAGAATATAGAAGGAAGACATCACTTTGATTAGCACAGCGTAGAGCGGGGGTCCGGCCATGCTAACCGAAGCAATTTCGTACGGTGTTGTATCCGTGTGTTTGTTGCTCTTGTCCAGTGCAGGTACACATATCTGGCCCTTCTAATTTTAGTATTTGATACATTCAGTCATGCTCCAATAAAGGGACTCATCACATAACAGTGAAAAAGGAAAACAAAAACTAATTTGGCTGAGGGTGATGAATTCCTAATGGTGTACAAGCACAGCTGCTGTATAGATTATTGACTGTTACATTGTATAATGACTCCATTTCCACTGCTCCCTCCGTTCCAAATTATAAGTCGCTTTGACTTTTTTGTACAACCGTTTTGCTATGCATCTAAATATAATAATATGTCTAGATACATAGCAAAATGGATGTACCAAAAAAAATTATGTACAAAAAGTCAAAGTCAAAGCGATTTATAATTTGGAACAGAGGGGTACATATTATCTGATGAAGGGAATGCAGTAGAAGTGCAATGGTCTAATGCCCTTCACCACAAAAAAAATCGAATTGTTCAAATTTATTTACTCTTGGAGTAGCATAGGAGTACAACAAATTTGCTTACAATAATAAATAAGATATTCATCCTTCCTGCCTACTGTCAACTGATAGGAAAGGGTAGGTGGCAAGTTGCTCTCACTCTCAGCTTTTCGGGTTTAGCCATGTGTGGGATCCTGTATACATTTGGATTGGCCTATCTAATATATCTAATGTTACTGTCGCTGCACACAGAGAGGAGATCCGGTTTCATGAAGTGGCTCTGCAATTTCCTGAAGGGGCCGAAGCCCGGCGAACCGAACCGCCGGCGGTCCCAGGTGACGGCCGGAGAAGAGGAGGACGCGCTTTGGCACCAACGACCAGTTAGACCAAAGGTACTACACTGTACTAGTAACTTAGGCCTTCTGCAGTGTGGTCAGAGAGTGATGCCCAAAAGAGGAGGAGCGCTTTTGGCACCAACGACCAGTTAGACCAAAGGTACTACACATAAACAATAATTGTTCACTGTACTAGTAAAGGCAACTTAGTTCCTCCTTCTTTTTCCACAATTCATCTCTGTCTCCACAACGGCCTTAGTTCTCCCTTCTTATACAATTCATCTCTCTGTCTCCAAACGGCTCTTTGATCTATCCACACAGTGCCGTTTCACATTTTTACATCCAATTCAACTTGCATTTATTGCAGTACCATACTACCATCTTAAGCTCTTTGATTTATTGCAGTACCATCCTCCCTTCGAACAAGCAGTTGCTAAAGACTATCTTTCTTTGCTGTTTCCAGAATGATCCACCTAGAAATGATAATGAAGAATTGGACCGTGCAATTGCAGAGTCTCTTGCAGAGGATGCCAAACCCCCCAAAGGTACATGGATGAATCAATCTATACATTTTATGTCAGCATGGTATAAATTTCTCTAAATTGTTTCATCCTGGCACCCCGTCGCTGCAAATTCCTGCGCAGAGAAAAACCATAAGGGAGACAACAACGACGAAGATCTTGCAAGAGCCATACAGGACAGTCTCAACATGAACCCTTACACGCCTTATAACCCCTATGCTCCCTCTCAGGCCCAACCTAGAGGGCACAGGTTAGCCACTCTCACATCACCATTTCATCATGCACCTCGTCTCTATTGCACCAAAACAGCTCAATGCCGTCAATGTCGATGCTGCAGGGTATGCGGAGGCTGCAAGCATGAGATAGGACATGGCCATTACTTGAGCTGCATGGGAATTTACTGGCACCCTCAGTGCTTCCGCTGCATCTCCTGCGGTCACCCTATCCGTGAGACCGAGGTAAGCTACTCCATCCATTTCAAATTATAAGACGTTTTGACTTTTCTAGATACATTGACATAATATAATCTAAGTTTTAGAATTCTAGGGCATAGCCCGTGTCTTAGGCATTAACCAAGACAAACATCATCCTTTACAGCGTTCAGGTTGAACACACCTTTCCAAACAGTTCAACAACCCGAACACAAAAAACATCAAAACTACCAACTAAAAGCTCCAAACCAGCTGAAGAACCGTCAACCACCAAACTAAACCAAGGCTTTCTGCTAGCATGGGCATCAGTCACCAACTTTGTTGGACAGTCTGTTCTTCAATTCCTTTGGGATTTCTCTGGTCTTCCAATTCAGAGCTTCCTGAAACATCAGCTTATCCCACCTATCCTCCACTTGATCTAGCCAGTCAGTCTTGCTGGTCTTGTTGCCAAACATTTTAGCTCCTCCAACTTCACAGAAAATTCCAGCTTCTTCATTTGTGGACAAAGTAAACCCCATTCTTGTAACATAATTGCTAGATTCATGAGAATAGACCTCATGAGTCATGTCTTTCCAAGCTATTCCCTGAAAACAAAGCTTATTTCTCAGTTTTCAAAGCCCCCATAGGGCTGCAGCACAGAACATGTTGCACACAAGAATTTATTGTTACTAAGCCACAGCTAACCAATAGACAGAAAATCCATACCAAGCCTTCTATCAAAAAGTTCAGAAATATATGCCCAAAGTTGTTGAGCTAATAACTGTTGTAACACTCCTTTAAATTATTTATAAAATCATAACTGTGGGGATCCCCCCCACCCCACAGTTTTTTGCGTCAAAAAAAAAAGTTGTTGAGCTAATACCTAGAAAATGTATCTAGAAAAGCCAAAACGTCTTATAATTTGGAATAGAGGGAGTATCTTGCATTTCTTTCATTGTGGAAGTGTGTTTCAGTGTCATCAGGGATGATCATATCCATTATTGTTTCTTCCTGGTTATCAGAGATGATATCCATTATTATTTCTTCCTGTTTTCCAGTTCACCTTGCTGGGTACAGATCCATACCACAAGTTGTGCTACAAGGAGCTGCATCATCCAAAATGTGACGTCTGCCTTCAGTTTGTAAGGCTTCCTCTGGAACCTGAATGATCTGCACTGCAGACTGATAAACTGCATGTGCATTAGTATTTCTACAGTTTGTCGGTGCAAGAAACTCATTCTTTTTGTGTTTCTGCAGATCCCAACGAACAGGAGTGGCTTGATAGAGTACCGAGCCCATCCATTCTGGGGCCAGAAGTATTGCCCTTTGCATGAGCATGACAGGACGGCACGTTGCTGCAGCTGTGAGAAAATGGAGGTACAAATACTAGAGAAAAGTGGTCGCAGTCTGATTACTTGTTTCCAAACTAGGCTATCCATTACCTGATTATATTCAAAGGCATTTTTCACCATAATTTTTTCGGTTGTAATTCTGCAGCCAAGGAACACAAAGTATATGTCATTGGGGGACGGCCGCAGCCTGTGCATGGAATGCCTGGGATCTGCAGTCATGGACACCGGTGAATGCCAGCCCCTGTACCATTCTATCAGAGACTACTATGAGGGGATGAACATGAAACTGGACCAGCAGATACCCATGCTCTTGGTTGAACGGCAAGCGCTTAACGAAGCCATGGAAGGAGAGAGTAGAGTGAGTATTTCTTCTGGCTTTTTTCCTGCAAAATGTGCGGCCTTCGGAAACACTAACGTTCATCACATCTGCATTATCCAGGGCCCACACCACATGCCTGAAACAAGGGGCCTATGTCTGTCGGAGGAGCAGACTGTGAGCAGTGTAAGTTCAACTCAAACTTTGACGGTTGCTAGGATGGTTAACCACAATGTGGCTATACAATAATCCTAATAAGATAGTCTTATCTGGTTATCTCGTTGTGATGAACTGAAAAGAAGCTCTTAAGTTCAGACTGCTCGTTTCGATTAGCATGGCAGTCGAAGAAACCGACAGATTCTGCCCTTTTGACTGTGCATTATTTCTGCAGATACTTAGGAGGCCCAGAATTGGTGGAAACCGATTCCTAGACATGAGAACTCAGCCACAAAAGCTGACTAGGAGATGTGAAGTTACTGCAATACTTGTCTTGTATGGCCTCCCCAGGTAAGGCAATTTACGCCTGATTCAGATACTGCGGTTCTTTCACATTCTATGGCTAGTGCGTCATCTGTGTCACAACGCTATTGCAGGCTACTAACAGGCTCCATCCTCGCCCATGAGCTGATGCACGGGTGGTTGCGCCTCAAAGGTACATGGATGAACAAATTTACTCAACTGAACATTCATAGCTCCATTTTTTCTTCTTTATGAAATTGATTGAAAAAATATTTTCAAAAGCTCTACTGAATCGTACTTTTCAGGTTACCGAAACCTAAACGCGAAGGTTGAAGAAGGTATATGCCAGGTCATGTCTTACCTGTGGCTGGAATCAGAGATTCTTCCGTCATCCTCAAGGCACGCGCAGCCTTCATCATCTTATGCCTCGTCCTCCTCTTCGTCTTATCCACCAACATCGTCCAAGAAAGGGGGAATATCTCATACTGAGAAGAAGCTGGGCGAGTTCTTCATGCACCAGATTGCCAATGACACATCAACGGCCTATGGTGACGGTTTCAGAACTGCGTATGCTGCCGTCAACAAGTATGGCCTTCGCCAAACACTGAACCATATACGCCTAACAGGAGGCTTCCCTGTATAATAAGAGAGGGAAAAAAAAGACAATGTCCATGCCGGACGCAACACAAAGATCATATGGATATCAAAGGTTACATACATATTGAGATGAAGTTGGCTATGGAAGCATAGTGATTCAGTTTCGGTGACCTTGAGTTTTCAAAGAGGTCCTGTCGGAGTAAATCAGAAAAGGAGCTGTATTTGCTCGAATTAATAGGAATTGGCGATGCCCAAGTGTAATAAGATCGCCCAAAAGCACTGATGTAATGCACTGTCACTCACACTAATATAATGATGAAGTGTATACTCATGCGTGTGCAGGTTTAATTGTTTATTCTTTTTTTTAAAACCTTAATTGTTTATTCTTGATTGCATGTAACGTAAGCAAGGGCTAAGCAGCAAGAAAATACCGTGAGCAGAATTACAACCTGACTAGAAGTACCCAGCATACGAATACCCCTAACAACAAATGAGGTAAAGACAAATCATTCCCTTAATAAATAAACAGTGGGGCTGAGCTAACATTACCAATAATACCGCATACACCAAAGGAATGCAAGTTTTGCCTTCTCTTGGGTCATTGGATCAATCCTGAACTCATCAAAATAAACAAATTGGATTCCAAAGCAAGAAAAAAGGAAACGAAAGGAATGCAGGTTTTGCCCTTTTTGGGTCATTGGATCAAATCCCGAACTCACCAAAACAAACAATCTGGATTCCAAAGCAAGAAAAAAAAAGTAAACAAAGTGGCCCAGTACTAGCCAATGGGTTCCCATTCACAAAATGATGGGCAAACATTTGCAACGAAAATCTTGCTAACATCAAAGTTCCCAAACTGATATACAAGAAACAGATCCATGGTCAATATCAGGATACACATATATCAAGGCTATTCACAGTTCTCTTGCCACCATTAATCAACCTTGCTATAACATTGGTGAAATTGGAGACCATATCTCACAGGTATGAAGATCATCAGGCTTGACAACAGCTTCATGTACCATTACAATGTGAAAGTTGTGAAGATACACAAAATGATGGTGAGGTGAAAAGAAACTCTTTTTGGAAGACCTATGGCATCTTTCATGGTGCACTACATAAAGATCTGTAACCATATAACACAAACTGCAAAACTTAGCACATCCTAAACCCTAACACTACATGCTCATATTTCTCCCACTCTAATCAGCCTCAAATGTTATTCTGACACCATATATCAAAATTGTGGAGCATGACAGAACTGCAGAGATCTAATCATCAGATTCCAGTCCTGTGAGGATGGCCTTAAGCATCTCATATGTCATAAATACGATGCCAACACCAGGAACCACTTTGCAGTACTCAGGCAAGATTCCTCTATACAGGCCTCTAAAACCCTCCGTGCGAACAATATGTCCGAAGGTTCCAAAAAGTCCTGTCTGGTAGACACGAGCCCTCCCGGCTGATCCTTCCAATTGCATGCGACGTCTCACAAGATCCAATGGGAATGTAACTGGAAAAACATGAACACCAAATAATCATTGTGTGCTTAACTAAATTTACAACCTTTAGCAGGCCATTAGTTATTAAAAGGCAGCATTCATGAAAAGGCAGCATTTATTAAAAGGCAGCATTAACTAAATTTACAACCTTCAAAAAAGAAGCGTGTTACAGTGGGAAAAAAACTGACTGATTAAAAGGCAGCATTCATGAAATTCAGTGTAAGGGGGAAAAGATACCAAGTAATCCAATTAAAATGAAAAGGCTGTGAAAGTGGAAGATTGAATAGGCACACAAATCATTTACTAAACAACTCCTTACAAAGTAATGAGGAATTTTCTAGTCAAACAAAGGGGGTTCTCGTTCACACTTTTCTATTGAACAGTAACAACAACCCAGGTCCTTAATCACTCACAAGTTGACGATGCAATTCCTGAAAGACTTCCACAAGCCAAACTGATTAGGACAGGGGAATCACATGGCCTGATTGGAAGATCAAATGTCAATACAAGTAAACCTATTACAAAGCACAAGGATAAGACTTTGATACCATATGTCCATATGTAACATGAAATTCAAAATTACCTCTCTACTTGCCAATGGGAACGTAAAGTTTCATACACACAGAAGCTTACTGCAATGCTGGGGCCCACTCCCTGAGATTTATAGAATCATCAGAGAATGTAAGTACATAACAGAATGAATGATGCAAATAAGCAGGAAAAAAAAGGAAATGCTCATACCAGTAAAGTGGCACCAAGACCCTTGTACAATCCCCTGACACCCTCATCTCTACAGATCGCATAAAGAGCATGAGATATGCCCCTGTAGTACGCAGTATTTGTCTACAACCATTCAGTGGGGAAAAATATCAGTCATCAGTGCTGCAAAACCTAGCTTAACAATGCGAAACTTTGTTAAATTGTTAGTTTAGTCTAGTTCAAATGCTTAAAGCATGCTCAATAAAAAACATCCCCAATGTCTTCTAGGTGCTTAAGCAATGCAAAAGGTGGTTTGACGGGAATGCAGGTTGGTATGGACAGATATGTTGTTCAGTCTCATTGTAACCAACTTCTGTCCATGTTTGACATTTTTCTACCAAATTTTTGCCACCAAATTCATAGACCAGGATTTAGCCAACCCAAAATGAACTAAGTTATCAAATTAGAAGACTACCGATCCAAATCTTGGCATGAACAAATGGGGGCCAAAATTATTCAAAGTAACCAGATTTTGGTTTGGCTAACTTGGGCACATATGGGCACCAAACCAAACACACCCTGATTGAATTGCAAGCACCTATTTGCCCACACCAAACAGTGATAAGTATATGGCTAAATCATAAAACTCAAACTATTCTTTTTTTTGGGGGTAGGCAAAAACTTACAGGAAAAAGCACAGGCTGTAACTTCACTCCAGTTAAAACGGTGAATATAACCTTCTACAAGGAAATTAACTCGTGTACCGACATATCAAGTGAATGACAATCTTACCAATCAAATTTATTTTACACCTAAACATTTTAGAATAGTTTTTACAGAACTTTATCCAGCACTGGTAACAGTATCTTACCTGAGCAGCAAGACGTGTTCGCACCAAGTCCAGTGGATACGTCATCGAAGCTGCAGTGATTCCTGATAAACCACCACCTAGCAATCTAACACCAACGTCTGCACCAAATCCACCATTCTTCTCAAGACCCGGTAGCATCTGAAGCAACTGCACATCCGAAATAATAAAGCTAAATTACTCCCATACCATCAGTGGGAGAGATGACCATTCAGAATTTTATCCAAAAAGCCCTGCACTTACACTCTTGTATCTCTCATAGGCATAGAAACTAATTGACGAGTAAGGCAATCGGTGGGCAATGGTAACAAGGTTCCCTTTCCAGAAAGCCCAAAAACCTTCTTCATAGACAATGCGGGATGCTTCATGCCATATGCTAGTATTGCGCATTGTAGCCACATCTGAGTGCATTCCTTGTACCTGCACGCACAATTCATAAATTTCACTAAAGCCACACAATCATATTGCGAAAGAGTAGAACAATAAGACTAATCCACACTATAAAGGATTTCTCTGGCAAAATCAGCAAAGCAACTATGTGATCACCATTCCTTTGAACAGCTAACCAAGTTGTCTGTTGCCAAAGCAAAATGCAATAATACATTATGGTTACTAGTTCTCGCGAATTCTAGTAGGATTGCAGCCAATTCATTCAAAAAACAGATGCGACGTACTCCGTGGCTTAGTTATAAAGACCCGAGGAAATATTAGCCGACTCTGCTATTTACACACGAGGTCGCACTCTGAGCATTTGAGCAGCCTGGCGAGCAGAACTGCAGAAGCAAGACCGCCCTCCCTTGGGAGTCCAGACGCACCTGGAAGAGGATGGTAAGGCGTGCGAGCGGGGCGGTGCAGGTCTTGCTGACTGCGCCGGCGACGCCGCCGGCGAGGAGGTGGGGCACAGTCCCGAGCTGGGGCTGGTGGTGCTGCAGCTGAGCCTGCGCCTGCTGTTGCTGCGTCGTGTACCTCCGCGCGGCGGCCGCGGCGGCGCCGCTGCCGTCCATCGTGGCGGCGGCCATCCCCACCCTCGCCTCCGTCTGCATCCGCCTCCCCCCTCTCGTCGTGCCGCCACTCCAACCGCCTCTAGGGCCTGGGCCCTAGAGCCTAGCGGAAGCGAACAGGCGCAGATCAGCGAGCGGGCCAAATGCGTGAGGAGCACGCGGGCATTAAACCCTAGCAGAGTTGGGAGCAGATTCGGAGTGCACAGATGGGCAGAGAGGGCTTAGGGTTTGGGGGGGCATGGGTGGGTCGGGTAAAAGTCAAAATGGCAACGGGTACGTACCCGATGGGTATTGGCCACCCGTACCCGCACCCGCTAGATCAAAATCTTATCCGTCGGGTTACCCGTACCCACAGGCGGGTAGAAAATTCATTCCATACCCACACCCGACGGGTAATTCTTACCCGACGGGTAACCCGCACCCAACAATATACCCGAGTTCACACACCAAAATATAATAGCTTCCAGCAAAACAAATCAACAATAGAGCAGCAAAAAAGAAATATATTCAGGTCAAGCTAGTTGAAATAGATGAGATGCCTCATTGGTTCATTCCAAATATGTTTATATGGGGATTAGGGTTTGAGGGAGTTCTGGAATATATATATACTCATATGTTTATATGGGCCAAATATAGGCTATATGCTTATATGGGCTAAAATTGCAGAGGTTGGATATTATTTATGCGGGTTTTTTTTATCCGCGGGTATACGGGTATGGGTAGTATACACCCACATCCGTACCCGCATACCCGATGGGTACAAGAATTCGTCCAATAACGTACTCGCGGGTGCAAAATATCTTCCATACCCGTCTCCTTATCAGGTAAAACCCGTCGGGTACTCGGGTTTCGGGTACCCGTTGCCATTTTGAGGTAAAAGCCATGGCCAAAATGAGAAACTAACTTGGAAAGAAATAGACGCTTCCAGGAAGCTTTCCTCACATCGAACCAGCATCTGTCTTCATTTCATTTTCAAAAAATCTTAAATACATACCCCTACTACTAAGTAGTTGGCTTTATTTCATTTTCAAGAATCTTAAATAAATACTCCTGGTGATTGGTTCTGTTTTTTTTTTCATAAGAGAAGCTTTAGTAATTTCAAAATTATTAACACCAAATTAATAGAAAGTTTCGGCGAGCACAGACAAAATTCAGACAAGAAATTAATAGAAAGTCCTTAAAATACTCTTGACCTACATAACTAAATGCATTCTTCTAAAATAAAAAATTCAGACACTAATAATATTTAGAATGAATTTAGTTTAGAGACGAGACACCTCATTTCGTCTTGGTGTTCGCCCTAGTGTTTGGTTAGAAAATGTACAAAGAAGGTCATCTCTAGAGAGAATATTCTCTCAATATGCCAGAAGAAGCTTGTAACGAAAAAAAACGAGAGCATGAAATGGGACGAGGGAGATGAGTCGAGTGCAAGCGCGCGAGGAAGCCAGTCTTGTAGGCGTCGGCCACCGACAGCGGGTCTGCCTTGAGGGCACATCGGCCTAGAAGTCGAAGGCAACAGGCCACCGGCGTCGAACACGGGGGCGCGATGAGCCTTGGCCGTGGCGGCCGCGAGCAGCGGCCTCGAAAGCACCGGCCGGCGGGAGCAAAACGCCAAACCCACCCGCGGCATACATAATAGGACGGGAGGCGCGCTCCACTGCGCCCGCTCCAGTCCAAGCCGAAACTAAACACCATAGAATTTAATAGTAGATCAACATAGAAGAGTAAAGCGTTTGGATGGTTACCGCTGCATGCCACGCCGTTGTTGTGGCTGCGCCAAAGTTGTGGCGAGCAAATCGTCCGCCGCAGTTGCGGCAGCTTTTGGCATGAAAAATGAACTAGGCCGTTATGGCAAGGCTGCGGCGTGCCGCAAGTTCGGCAGCGAACCAAACACGCGCTCAACTTTGGCAAGAAAGCTGTGGCACGGTGCAGCAAGTTCTGGACTCCATCCAAACGCTCCCTAAATATAAGGTTGAATCCAATAAAAAACTAGAAACCCACGGCGTGGCCACCCATACATGTCAAAGAAATGCAAAAAATGCAAATAGAATTAAAAAACAATGTATTCCTCTGTAAACAATACACGTCCTATTGAGACATCTAAACATACATGTTAACTCGGTTCATGAAAATAATAACTGCAAAGGATCATCTTAAAAAAGCATAGGACGTCCTTAGTAGTATATTCTCTATTATCCATGTCCATTAGCAGTAATCTCCTCTATGTCCATTGTCCATCCTGTAAGGCTGTAGGTAGGCACCGACTCGTAGTTGACTTGGCGGAAAATTCCAAAAGACAAAAAAGGTGAATACAGTACAGGTAAATAATAGGCATATGGTTACTGAAAGAGACATGTTGTTGATGTTACACACTGCAAAAGCAATAAAATCATATTTGATCATATAAACCTGAAAGGGGGGATTATACAAAAGCAAAGGCAAGCAGAATAAGGACAATAACTAATAGTAACGAAACATGAACGCCTTGACCTAAATTCTTATGATATAGAAAAATCGAGGCAACTGAGAATGGGAATGTTTTTGGATTGACAGTTGCTTCCTTTTGGTTGACCAAAGGAAGCAAATGCAAATATGCACACATAAATCAGAATGGGTGGTCTCTATATTCTGGCTGCGAAGGAACTGAATTCCATAAAGTGGGAAGGAGCACCATGCGAAGCAGTTTTCCAATAATGGTCAGCCAATCTAGGTCCTATATGAACCTTCACTTGGTGATGAACATATGTACATAGAAAGTAGACTAAATCCTAACTCTAAACTGGAGGGAATATAACTTGGTTCAGCATATTTGATACTACAAAAGAAATGTCCTATCAAAAGGGATGGTCAAGTAAAAGACAGTGGCGTGGATCTTCCCCGCCCCCCGCGTTGCCCCCACGTAGGCGACACGGGAGGCGACCCAAACCCTAGCGCCTCTCTTCCTTCCCTCCCTCTCTCTAGCCGCGCCGTCACCGGAGTGGGCCGCCGGCATGGCCGTGCGGCTTGCCAGGAGGGCGGCGGCGAGGCTCTTCTTCACGGTGGAAGCTGCGACGGTCGAGGACGAGCTCGCATGCGGCTTCCTGGGGCTCGGTGAGGTCACTAAGGCTAGTGGCGGCACTGGCGTCTTCGGCGGCGGTCTCCTCGCTTCGACGATCGGATCCGGCTGTCTAAGGGCCGAATTCGCGCGGATCTCCGGCGGGCAGCGCCTGGGCGGGCGCTGGGCATCGGTGGCAGCGGCTCCTGTCCAAGGCACCGCGTTGTCGCCGGATCCACGGGGTACGGGGCGCTGCGCCCTGGGGCGCGCGGTGGTGACTGCGTCGGCCTGGGGCGGGCCTCTTCCTCTTCCTCGCGCTCGGCAGTGTTGGCGGTGTGCGCTATAGCGGGACGGCAGGGCGTGCCCTCGTGAGAGCCACGTGGGGCTCGGCAAGGCAACCTGCTGTGGCTACGGCGACGCTGGCCAGTGCCCGTGCAGGCGTCGGGCGGTGGCGGGGGCTCCTTTTTCCTCCTCCGCTTCCCCCTTTCCTCCTCGACCATGGAGTGGAGGCGGCGGCGCCTGCTGGGGACACTGGGTCTAGCGCCACGGCCACATTCGGTGCCCCCGGGGCAGGGGGTAGCGCCCGTGGTGGGGCATGCACCTGACAGTGGCTGGCGGAGGTCAGCAGCGTCGACGGCGGATGTTTGAGCTAGCGACGATAGCTGGCGACGGCTTCAGCGTGCGGCAGGGTGACGCGCGTGGTAGGGTAAGTCCAGTTCTGCATGTTGCCCGATCGGAAGGGGTGGCGGCCGACGCAGCTGTGCGGCTGCTGTGAGCAGCCGGCGCGTTGATGCCCCTCTGGAGAAGCTTCTGCGGGATGGCAGTGACGACGACGGTGGCGACAGGCTACGGTCCAGCATCTTGGCTCGACGTATGTGCTAGGGGCACCTCGGGCAAAAGCCTTGGCGACGGTGACGCCTGTGGGCGCCATTTTCCTTTTGGAGGTGTCGTGTTCTTGTGCCCCCAGCCATGTCTTCCACGGGTGAAAACCCGGTCCATTCCTGGACAAGCGACGGCACCGTACCCTTCCTGAAGGCGTCGCTGTGGAAATTCATCTCGGCCGTGATGTCTCCTTCGGCGGATGTCCTCCGCCTCTCGGCGCCCGGTTGATGCAAGACGGCGAGTTCTGCATCATGAAGTCAGAGCTGCTGCATCAGGGGATGTAGCTCGGCAACGATGATGCGTGTCGAACCCTCCTTCTCCGACGACTGGGTTTTCAGCTTTAGAGGCTCGGCAATCGCCGCGGGTGGGGCATGGGATCATGGCAGGAAGTCGGAGCTGCTCTTCCCGGAGCCGTTGAGCTCGGCAACGATGACCTGTTGCAGCCTCCTGCTTCGGGCCCGTTGGCCTGACATCTTAGGATGGGCCGTCGGTGTTTTTGTCATGGGAAGTCGGAGCTGCTAGCTGCTTTGCAACTATTGTAACACCCTAGGTGTTTGGCTTCCACTAATTGCATTTCATTTCATAAACATGTGCATCATCTATCTCATCATGCCTTTGTTACTGAAACATGCATATGCAACATTTTCCAATTGTGTATGTTTCCTACTTGAGTATTGTGAATAGTAATGGTGTAACATGTGAATGCAACCTGAGTTTCTTATATCTTGAAACATGGCAACATGGTAGTAATGTGACAAGTATAGAATAACAACAAAGTCATGCAACATGTGAAACATTGCATTGCAACATATGAGTGAATTGCTTGTTTTAGTTGCTTTATCACATGTGATCATTAAAGGTTGGTATAACAATTTGGTAAAGTGGTTGATCATGGTCTATTACACCTTAACTATACTTAGGTTACTTGTTGGGACATTGTTCATGTAGATCAAAATGACCAAAATGCCCTCAAGTGGAGGTTTGACTTGAATTGACCCTTGGAGTGTCACTGTTTGACTGTTTTAAAAGACCAACTTAGAAATCTTGCATGGCTGTACACTCTTTACAAAAGTTGTAGCTAATTTATTAAGGAACAAAAGTTGTTTTATGACCAACTCATGAAAAT